TAGCTGACTAGAAAGGTGGTACTTATCGGCCTACCCACTATAGATCGATGTCATGCGCACTCACACTCATCCTATTATTCAAGCTGACAACTTGCGTAACCAACTAGAAAGGCGGTGTTTGTCGGCCTTCAACTAGGCGGTTGGTGAGGTGGTGTGTCCTCGAAGCCCTGCCAATGACCAACTACTCTTGCATTAACTGCCCTGACAAATTCATCATTACTTTATCCCCTATAGTCTTTATTACTCATCGGATCCAGTAAGGTCCAAGCGCCTGCTGTTTTCTCCACAATAAAGTACATAATGGCTTATCTTTGCCAGCGACAGACACCTGTCAGCTATCTGCCGAGTCAGCTACCTGCCTAAACTTAGCTTAAGTTACCTATCTTCCTTTCTGATTCCCTATAAAAGGAAGCCATGTAGCTCAAGGTAAGGCTCCTAGCTTTTCACGCAACTTTAAAATCTTCTTCATCATCCCATATTTCCCTCTCAAGTTTATATTCTGACTTGATCGTCGGAGGAACAACCCAACTCCTACCTCTTATGAGTTCTTCATGTGTAGGAAAGGATAGCAAGCTCCTAGACCAACCATCTAAAGAAGCTTGAGAACCTCAACCCAACACTAATCCTTAAATAAATCCCTTGCTCGATAACTGACATCAACACCCCCATCTTTTTCATTTGTCAATCAAGGGCTAAGCTCATGCACATTTTGTCTCCAATAAAATCGGCTTACCTAGTTTGCCATATAAACCTTAAAAGATTTTTGTTATCTTACCAAAAGGGTACTATTATATTTATGATTATTGCATAACGTTTACAAAAATATAGATCCATGATTAGGACTTAAATATAGGATGTTCCAATTAAATTTGAATTAAAAAACCCATATTAATTTATATTGTTCTATCTATTTTTGAAAATTATTATTGTAAATATTATTGTATTTTATTTCAATTATAGACCCAATTAGTTTCGCTGGTAGCACACACAGATTGTTCACCCAAGATGATCATGGACTATAAGATCCTGATGAGTACATGCATGCAGTAGTGTTGATCTACTACATAACAATGCACATCAGAGAGACAATGAAACCCTTGCATGCATCTAGGAATTATAAAAAATCATTTAGAGATTACCAAAGTCTTTTTTGTTGAATTGCTAGGCCTTTCTTGATCAATAGCACAAGGGCAACCACACAGTGCAACTGGTGGGAAGCCCATCACATATCACCCCGTAACTATTGCATAAAGCATAATGCATAGAGAAGAAAAGGATATGATGGGTACTCCCTTGCACACATGCACACACACACACACACACACACACACCCACGCCCAAACCCTAATCTATTTAGGGTTAATTGACTTGGGCCTATTAAGATCCGCCCACTCAATTGGGCGGACCTACTAAGCCAGCATACTCCTACTTGTACAAATGAGTTAGTGTCATCAATAGCTCCCTGAACAGAATTCCTAAGTTATTGAATCCTCGACTCAAAATCTTCCTGAGAATCTCCTTCCTTTTCAAATCCATGTCCATATATCATAGTGCGGCATGGACCATTGAGAACCGGTAAGCAAGTAGCCTTGTAGCTAGATCCGTTAGGACCAATACAAGGATTTCCCTAAAAAAACAAAACATAACAAATAGTATAAGTACGTGGTATTTCTTACCCTAGATCTATCAACCATGTCTGCTCAAGTACCTTCGATACTTGAAGGAAGCGTACATGAACATCGCAATCTACTCTTAATGCATCACACTCTTAAATCTTTTCCTTAGTGTAAATAAGAACTAGCCAAGCAATACAAGCAGGAGACAAGTCAATCAGTCTTCCTCTAGTCCTAGATAGTTGGGCCTGCTAATTAACTACTTTCCTAACACTACTCTGTGTGTACAATATTGTCTCATTTTAGCAAGAAACAATAGCCAAATTAGCGGACACTCATAACATCCTTTCTAGACCGCCCGATGTCTCTAACGGCACATTGACTGTCCTCCATAACTAATGGTTGTCTATAAGGGCTCATACAGCGAAGAAGCAGAGTTCCATCCCTCGAACTTCTTATATCCCAGCGAAGACACATATCATATAGCAACATCCTACCATATTACTTCTCTGTCCTTGAGAGCATACATCATTAAATGAATACTATACAAGCCTAAGTTCTATAACCTCATGACGAACTTGTTCGAATATATCGCCCCACGATATGACCAAGATCTCTTGACAAGCCTGCACCTCATGCACCAAGTTAGACCCCTAGTCTAATAGGTAAAGTTAATATGTGACTTTCCACTTTGGTCGCTTCAAAGTATAAGTATAGAACAACATCATCCTGACCTAGCCGAGGCAACCAATAAAGTGCTTTGACTATCATCATACCTAGTAATACAATAGTATTGTTATTTCTCTAAGTTAAATGACATTCAACACTCAGTCTCAACTTTGACAACTACCACAACTCTAAAGAAGATATCTTGTATAATAAGATCTTTTATTTGCTGATGTAACTTTCTAATGATGCGCCTAGTGCCCTTTGTGTATCCTGTACACATAATATACAAATATATAAATATATTTCAAGCCATGATATTCAAGAAATAATAAGATATAAGTAATACCTAATATGTATATAGATGATAAAAAGATAATCAAATAACCATAACGTCTTATAAAGTTGTCATCCCTATTTTGAATCTTAAAGTTGTAATGGACTCAATACTACAATTTAAAAGAAACAAAAAAAATTTATTTAAAACTAGGTTCTTTTCTATGTACCAGTGAAGCGTCGACTTGACTTCGTTGACGTTTAATCTTCATGTTGATTTTATGAAGATCGCTGAAGTTGAGCCAAGTTTGAGCTTTGATCTCTTTTAAAGATGTTGAATTCTTCTCTAAAATACAATGCTTGATACTGAGATTCCTGGATCTCTAGATCCCCGAAAAATGAACATTCTCCCTTCCTCTTATAGGCAAAGAGAGAAAGAGTTAGTGGCCATTTAATGTAGATTTCATGGTCATTAACTTAGGAGGTAATACGGGTGAACCATTTCTACAAAAATAGCTTTTAAAATGGTTATTAGTGAGGTTCGCCAATAATAGTTATGGGCAAAGTTCGTTTTAGCAAACTACGCCAAAACGTGGGTACCCACTTCTATTGGGGTGTGGATGATGTAGCCCACATGGGCTATTTGGGTGAAGTTTATTTCGGAGAACTTCGCTTAAAGCTTCTCATTGACTATTTCTTTAGAGTGAGTGATAATCACATTTTATTACAAATTTATACCCTCATTATCTATTTTATATGAATAAATATATCACTAATAATTGCTTTTATCTTTAATTGTAGGTTAATCAAAAATAAAACTCATGATCTATTCTCTTAACAAAAGCCCATGGATTAAATGAAGAACTCAAGCAAAAGCCAAAAAGCCTAAGCCCAAGCCCAAATCCAATGAAAGAAGAAACCACGGCCAACAATTGGAGAAGTCTGCGCATCGATGCTAGCATCGATGCCAACATCAATGTTGGTATCGATGCTGACGAGAGTCTGTTACGAATCTAAAGCTGAAATTTAAGGGGTTTGTATAAGAATTCAATTCAAGGGTTAACATTTATTGATGTTTACTATAAATAGTGGTAGAGAGTGAGGGGTTAATGATGTGAAAAACTTTGTAAATCCATTTGGAGAGAAGAGTTACTCTTAATTGAGAAGATCTTCTAATTTTATAACTTTTGTTACAATCAATAAAAGGAATTTTTTCACCACTTAATATTTTTCTTCTCTTTGTTGGATGACGAAGATGAAGATGAAGATCAATTTGGAGGTTTGTTTTATTTTATTTTATTTTATTTTCTATTTTATTTCTGAAGATGAAGATGAAGATCAATTTGGAGGTTTGTTTTATTTTATTTTATTTTATTTTCTATTTTATTTCTTTTCTTATTGCTTAGTAGTTTAGATTTACATTAATGTTTTGTAGTGTAGATTTATTTTCATGTATTTAATTCTTGCAATTTATTTTGTAGCTTAGTATTTACAATTTATTTTGTAGCTTAGATTTTATTTTCTTTCACTATTCAATTTGAGGCTAGAACCCTCTTGGGATTAGTTTTTCTTTTTGCTTGTTTTTATTTTCTTTGATTCGCCTTGAGTCTAGAACCCTCAAGGGAACTGCCCTTTTCTTAGATGTGGAATTAATTATTATTGGAACTCTAGAAATTATATGAAACTAGCTTTATTTCTCTTATGATTTGTTAATCTTTCTCTCATGCTTAAAATATTCATATTTAGGATATTCAACTAAAGAACTAATTGGTAGAAGGAATTCTAGAATTACTATTTAGTTATTATTCTTTTCATGAGTAATAATTTTACTTGGATGATAATTTGATAGGTTATACTTCCCTTGAGTGGTTTGATAATCTATACTTAGTAAATCTAAAGTAGAATGTGAAAAGAGAATGATTCATATCTTATAAGGAAGAAATCCCTACTATAATTCAATGTTTTAAATGTCGGATGTTGGGTTCATGTCGGTCGGCCAAAATTCATGTCGGATAGCGGAAATCGGGGATATATCGGGGGACATGAAAAATATCGGATTTCCATATCGGATAGGTTGATATAATATCATAAATAGAATCTTCACATACTTGATAATTATATTTTCTAAACATATGATTATTGATGTTAGGATCACTAACCAATTATAGACACCTGATTCCGAGTGCATATTGACACCATCCGAGTGCTTGACCTACAAAATATAAAGATAATGTTAGTAAACATAGAATAACATATAAGGAATGAAGCAAGTGACATATAAATTATAATATATAGAATGAAAATTACAAGATTCATATCCATAGAGAAATATAAACAAAGCAAGCATACAACCAAGTTTTCAAAGTTACAAATAGCTCATAATTGTTTAACATCCAATTATCCAAAAGTAATTCCAAAATAACATTGAAACTAAGATGACTATAATCAATCCTCATCAAAATAGAGAGTAAGAATATCCTCCTCATTCGACTCTAAGGATGTCTCAATATCTTCTTCCTCATCATCCTCCACCAACTCCTTCCCCTTCGAAGAAGATGATACTAACATTTTCATTCTTTTATAGGTTCGTGTTCGTGCACTTTTTCGATTTCTTGGATTAGCTCCTGAAATGTCACAAACTTGCTTAAAATTCAAACATTCTCCCGGAAATACTTCATCATCGCTATCATCCCCGTTTGAACCCATCAACCATTCGGAGACCATTTCCTCATCATCATAGGCGCACAAATGATCTCTATCTATGACGGCATGTTTGTTCTTCAATTTTGCATTGAATTTGACAAAGACGAGGTCATGAAGCTTTTTGTAGGATAATCTATTTCTCTTCTTAGTATGAATCTACAAGTGAAAACATGAATTAGCACAAAATGCTATAAACCTACAAGGCTACAACATGATCTAAATTCAATCATTATTAGTTTATTACCATCTCAAATGTGCTCAAATTTCTTTCACATGCCGAAGAGCTAGTTGTCAAGGCCAAAATTCTCATTGCCATCTTTCTCAATTCGGGAGTATCACTCCCATAAAGCCTCCACCATGTAACTAGTTAATTCATATTTGAAAAAATTAGTAACTTATAAATTTGTAATAAAGGTTAATGAATTAATTTAATATTATAAAGTTACCTGGACAATCACCCTTAGAAGCTCCTCGCTTCGCATATTCATTTCCAAATGACCCTAAACGTTCTTGATAATTAGGTAATTGAGCTCCAATCTTAGTGAAAGTCGCATGGTCATTTGGGAAGATTTTATGCATACAATATACAAGGGATGTCATGAAGGTTCTATCTTTTTCAATTTCCGTGTAAGCCAGATAATAGAAATATGGATTCAAGTAGTAGCCCGCTTTATGTAGTGAATCACAAAGCTTCTTATTGAATCTTGGCTTAATCATTTTCAATATAGGAATATAATTTTTTCTCATCATTTCCAAGGGCTACTTTCAACTCTTCCAAGGCCACCATCATGTCTCCATATATAAATCCCATAGATGGGACTTTATCACCATCGGCTCTCCGGAGAACCTTCACTAAATATAAATCCCATAGATGGGACTTTATCACCATCGGCTCTCCGGAGAACCTTCACTAAAGGATTGAAAACTTTGAGGGCAAAGTCTGTATTGTCCCAGAACTTGTTGCTAGCAACTATCTCTGCAACCTACAAATAATACAAACAATCAAAGAATGAATGCAATATAAAGATGAAAGGAATACTTTGTAGCTATCAATTTTATTTTTTAAAGTTTAAATGCATACCTTTTTGCCTGCTGTTGTTCTTGAAAGGCTACAATCCATCCATTGATCAGAGATGAACATCCGCCTCATTTCTTTCTTGTGATCCCTTAATGATTGCAGTGAGAGGAATGTCGTAGCAAATCTTGTAACCCCCGGTCTCATAAGATCACCCTTAGTAAACTCTCTAAACAATTGAAGAGGCTTAGTATGATTATATATAAATACCAATACACTCCTCCCCATTGTAATGACATTATGAATGAGTTTGAACTTGGCTATGTTACATAACATCAAGTTCAGGGTGTGCGCTACGTAAGTGGTCCAAAATATATTTTTCCTCTTCTCCTCCAATTTCTTAGAGGCCGCCATATTATTTGAAGCCCCATCGGTGACAATCTGCACCACATTTTCCTCCCCTAACTCATCAATAGCATTGTTCACAAAGTCACAAATATAGTTAGCATCATGCTTATCGGCCGATGTATCATGTGAAGACAAAAAACATGCCCTCCCGGCAGAGTGTACAACTATGCTCATGATTCTTCTAGACTTTCGATCACTCCAAGCATCAGTCATCAGGGAACAACCGTTGACAATGCATGTCTTCTTGAAGTTCTCAACAACCTCTTTTGTTGCATCCACCTCTCTCTGCAAGCAAGTCTCACTCAACTCATACAATGATGGAGCTTGTAAATGACTTCCAGACATCCCCACGGCTTGTAGCATTTGATAGAAAGAGGGAAGTGTGGCTGTATGAAATGGAATGCCAGCTTCAAAGAACCATTTGGAGATGTATTGCATAACATCTTCCCTTTTCTTATTTCTTAGCTTGGAGTCCATCGATGGTTATTTGCCCTTAGCTACTATTTGGGCGGTCTCTTCGGGAGAACGAGCAACAAAGGAGTCCATTAGGCCTACTGTCTTGTAAGAGGATGACGAGCTTCTTTGAGTAGTCAAGGAGTTATGCTCCTCCTCTTCCTCCCCTATATGCCTTGTAAGAGGATGACGAGCTTCTTTGAGTAGTCAAGGAGTTATGCTCCTCCTCTTCCTCCCCTATATGCACTTCACTCAACAAATTATGGATCTTATGCTCCTCCTCTTCCTCCCCTATATGCACTTCACTCAACAAATTATGGATCTTTGTCTCCTTATCCTCTTTGCTCTTCTTTGCATTCTCCACTATTTCAGAGACTTTTCTTTTAACATCATCAGGGACTTTTGTACACGGTGTGCAATTCCCTCTCTTTCCGGCTAAATGAGATTTGAATCTGGTAGTCCCGCCATTGAATGTCTGAGTGCAAATAATTAATCTTGTTGGTATCAGAATCAACTCTCTCCCTATATACCCAACATGGATCTTTACCGCCCGGTTTTGATGTTGGCAGCTTAGTAGACCCTTGTCCTTCTAATGACATGTTCCTAAAAATTACAATAGACAACAAACATATAATTAGTTATACAAACTTAAAACCAATTACATATTTACAATTCAATCAAATAATTGTGCATCATGATTCATGCATGGTGAATTCAATCAAATAATTGTGCATCATGATTCATGCATGGTGATTATACAATTCAATCAAATATTTATATGTTTATAATTTATTAGTTAGCATGCTAATTACTATTTTTAAGCTCTTTTTTCTAATTATACTAATTACTAAATTGTTGTTGCTCATTGACTTTGTTTTTCTTTTTTACAGATTATACTTGAGAGTTAAGTAGCAGCGAGCAAGAATGAAGGATCAATCAAATTTCCCAACACATCTACCAAAATTATTGTACAACGTTTGAAACAATTATGTAAATAATAGTTTGAAACAAAAGCTATATGTACAACGTTCGCTGAAAATTAAACCAAAAAAATGACAGTTTCACTAGTTAGCATGATTGCAGTTTAGTTGGATAAAAATTAAATCACAAAAAATGACAGTTTAACCCTTTGGGCCTGGTCACTTCTATTCCAGGCAAGAATTAATGGTAAATTTCACAAACCATATGAACTTTGGAATTTTGCACAAAGCCCTTCTTTATTTTATAACTCAAACAAAAATCCCATGTTTTTCTTGCTAAGATGGTTGTTGAATCTTGGACTTGGACTTATTTTATAACTCAAACAAAAATCCCATGTTTTTCTTGCTAAGATGGTTGTTGAATCTTGGACTTGGACTTCCACACTCCAATATGACAATGTCCCATGTTTTTCTTGCTAAGATGGTTGTTGAATCTTGGACTTGGACTTCCACACTCCAATATGACAATGTAGTTTTCTTGGCTGCTAAATGCCCCCTATCTCATTTTTGGGGAAAAGGATAATTAATTCACCAAAATATTTATTAACATAGGAAGAACCCACCTTACATTAAAATAAGACAAACAAAAAAGTTCTTCAAAAAAAGATTACATTTAGTAACTCCAATCAGTAAGTAGGTTCTTCATTCACTAGCATACAACAGATAAAATACCAGAAACAAAAATTTATGGGATATTTTCCCTATTTTGTCTTTTTGATTGCACAGAACCACGCACGTCATTGAATGGCAAACTTCCTTTCAAAAAAATACAAATTATGGAAATTGTCACACACTGAACAAAGGAGGAAGCATCATAACATCACTATCTTTGCCTCTAATCCCCTGTTTCCAAAGCTTAATTTGCTCCAAAACTTTAATATAAACACAAATCTCAGTGTAAAAAGAACAACAATAGATAATCTCAGTGCAAAAAAAGAAAGGAAAACAAATAGATAATCTCAGTGCAAAAGAGAAGGGAAAGCAATAGATAATCAGTAAAAAAACAGTAAATAATGATCGGCGGCAAAAAGAACAACAATAGATAATCTCAGTGCAAAAAAAGAAGGGAAACCAAATTATTTTCAAAAAAAAGAAGAAAACAAGAAAAAAACTAAAAAAATACTTGAGTTTGAGGTGTCGGTCGGTGGCGGATCCGGAGGCGAAGGAGTCGGCGGCGAGCGGTCTCGCGTGGCGGTATCCGCAAGACGAACGGACGTCAGCGGCCGATCGCGATGCGTCGTTCGCGTCGTCGGCGTCGTCTGGTCGGCGTTTCCGAGTTTGAGCCGCAGCAGGATCAAGGAGAGGCAGACCAGCAGCCGACTTTGGGGGAAAACCCCTAAAAAATGTTTAATGAGCTTATTGGGTCGGATCGGGTTTTTCAAACCTGACCCAACAAGCTTAAAACTTCTTTTAATGAAATATGGCTGATTTTTCTTGGCTGAAATGTCGCCCAATATGTCCGATACTTTCCGACATTTCCCAGACATAACCCCAGGAATGCAATACACATTAAAATCAAGGATATCGTGACGGCTAGGGTATCAAACCG